CGTAGTGCTTGAAGTACCATTACGAATAAGGCAAACGCGAACCAACACAATATGGAAATGAAGCGAGGGAAGGGATGCGCGTTAATGGCGGTGCAGAGATACAACTATTCGTACTTGATGGACGTCCGTGCTGCGTCCGAAAAATTGAAGGCGCGATGACGCGAAGCGTGAGCTCTCAATGCTCTGCTGGATGCTGCCAATGAGGTGTCGCTCAGATTCGGGAGAAAAGTTAAAAAAGAGGCCCGAATACGTCTTTCCTGTCTTCGGCTGTGTTGATACTCGTTCTTTCTTCTTTTTTCAGGTTCCTGTCTGAGCCCGCGTTTTCTCAAAACTTGAATTTTTTACTTACTCTGCCGTGCTAAGGAAGAACGCCGTATGAGCCGTCACACGTTGCCAAGTTTCCCTCGATAAAAATAAATTGGGAAAATTGTTTTCCGAAATGTTCAGCCAATTTTGTATCCGATATAATCTAAAATATCTGAAAATTTCAAGGAAAAATATGCACAACTCTCTTCAAAAATACATGTTTCATTCGGGGAGGTTTGGCAACTCTCGAATGTTCATGCGGCGTTCTTCCTTAGCACGGCAGAACTGTGATCGAGTGCAATAACTTGCAACTTGCATAGCTCGCGGGAATCACCACCCACCCCTCCACCTCCCACCCCTCCCCCTCCCCTCCGACACCCACCCTTGGGAATGAGTCATACTCCTCAGGGTGCGGGGAGAGGGTGGAGGGAGGAGGGGGAAATCTGCGCCGCGACGCAATGCGATGCACCCGTCTCGGCGACACCCTTGCACCCTCCCCCTCCCCCTCCCCCTGACGTCACCCCCTGACTCGGCCGTGGCGGGCCGCGGGATTCCTTTCGGGACGCCCAGACCGCGAGAGCCGCTAAGGTTACGCTCATGAAGGGATTCCGCGTCTTGTGTACACACCCCTGTCAGCACTCCTGTGCTAAGCCAGAACGCCATATCGACGGTGAAACTACCAAACCACGTATCTCGTTTGCGGTGTTTAAAAATCTACGCTCACATTTTATTTTTTTGAAGTAGACCAAATCAATATCATTCCTTGAAATTTTCACGGAATTTTCTCCGCACAAAGAGGAAAAATCACAGAAATTTTCAAGACTAGACGTTAAGTAGTTTTTCATTTAAAAAATAAAGTATGACAGGAAGTCTGCGACGTCGCAAACCGAGATACGTGGTTTGGTAGTTTCACCGTCGATATGAGCCTTCGGGCGTTGCCAAGCTTCCTGTGACAAATCACTAGTTTTCAGTAAAGTTGGTGAATATTTTTCTTTCGATTTCTCAGATAATCTTGTTCAGAATATGGCCGTTTACTAAAAATTTCATGGAAAAATGGACCGCGTTAAACAGAAAAGGAACCAAGTCACATCAGCTATTGCCAAATTTAATTAGGCAATTTAATATTTTACGTGAAAACGGTCGTGCGGCCTTTCTTGCAAATTTCAGTGGATTTTCTCCATAGTGCGAAGCAAATTGCTTAAAATTTTCAAAGGAATCCGCACAAACGTTCTCTCGTAAAAAATTAAATTGCCTAGTTAAATTTGGCAATAGCTGATGTGGCTTGGTCCTTTCTGTTTAACGCGGTCCAAATGTTCATAATTTTCCTCAAAAATAAACATTTTTCAGAGGAAATTTGGCAACTCCCGAATGTTCATACGGCGTTCTTCCTTAGCACGGCAGAGCAAGGCTCGGGGATCGGCGTGTTGGCCAAGCCGATGTTGATGTGTCGCCGGAAATTAGTCAAGTCAAGCATTTTACCAAATCCCCAGGCTGCAGACAGTCAAACATTGGCAGTTTACGAAATTTTGTAAATTTGTGGCCGAGAACCTACGAGTTTTCTATAGTTTTGGAAAAATTACTTATCAATGGGTCAATGGGTCACTTGCGCTGGTCACAGAACCGTGTTCTGCTGCTTGATTTCATTTTAATCTTCGAGAGACAGGTTTTCAGAAAATAACTAGAATATGATGGTGAAAATCCCCAACCACGAATCACGGAAAACCCGATTTTTCAGGGAGGCGAAAAAACGGTTAGGTTGACATTTCTGCTCTTTGGAAAAGGGGAATTATTCTTGAAAATAGAAAGGATAAGATGATGTTTAAGTCTCTATCAGCATTTTGAAATATATTCCCGTCTGACAGGAGAGACAAACGAAAAACCGAGATGTTTTTGGAACTAAGGGCTAACACCAAACTTTGAAATACGCGGTTCAAATCTTTTTTGCCGATTTTGACTGAATCAGGACTCAGATTAGAGTTTAACGGGACAGCGTATTCTAATCTGCCTCTTCTTAGAAGATTCAGTTGGTCCTACAGCTGGATGGAACATCGCAGGTTGCGAATACTGTGGATTACTCGATGCCATAAAAAATACGCACAACTTATTATTGCGGTGCCACAAAGCTGAAAAGATGAAACAAAATCCTGCCCCTCCAAAATTATCATAACTGACCAAATCTTCTTCCAAGAGGTTCTCAAGTGATGAGTCGTTTTAATAAAATACGCACGTGCGCAACACTGATAACAAAATGTCACTTCCCTTTTCTCTGACAGAATATCATCAGCTTATTTAACTCTGAGATGCCGGGTCCAACAGAGCGGAGCATTGCGAGTTGACGCATCACGCCATGGCGCCTTCAGTTTTGCGGATGCAACACGGACATCCATCAAGCACGAATAGTTGTATCTTTGCGCCGTCATCAAGACGGGTCCTTTCCATTGCTTTATTTCCCTTTTGAGTTGGTTACGTTTGTCTTATTTGTGGTGTCACTTCAAATGCTTTGTGAGCAACATGGCTGATGACAGGTGAGACATAATCAGGCCTAGTTTTGAAACTTCGCTCCCGAATCCGAATGACACCTCATTGGGAGCATAGAGCCGAGCATCGCGCAGTGGCGAGGCGTGCTTTGCGATACATCGATTGTACTGTCATTTAAACCAATGATAAAGAATCGATTATTAAGGTGTTCGCTGCGAACACCCTGATTATCGATCCTTCTCCACAGGTTTAAATGGCAGTACAATCGATGTATCGCAATGCACGCCACGCCACTGGCATCGCGTCTTCAATGTTGCGCTTACACGAATAGTTGGATTACATTTTGCAATAAGGAACCACTATCTCTGGCTCTTCCATAAGAGCACCATTCTTACATAGGGAGACCAATGGCATATAGGTAAGTTGTTTCTAAAATGAACCAAAAATAATGGTTCTATATTGCAAAATATAATCCAGTTGACCTAAGAACATGTCTTTTGGAGCTCTTAAACCATAAATTATGATCCATTGCAAAGTGTTAAGCAAACCAGACATACATACTAAGAGCTTTTAGAAACATGCTCGTGCCTAAAAATAGAGGGCTCATAACATAGTCCAAAAATGCGTATCTTCATTACAAAGTTCAAATTCCTCCAATATTTTCTATTTTCATTTTCTCCTTTTTACAGAGGAAAAAGCTAACAAAAGTAAATCCTAACATTTCTTATCAGAGGGTACTTGGGTTTACACCGGATGTTATGGTTTATAATACTCGATCGCGAAAATTCGACTGACAAAACAGAATTCGACAGTACTGCCGAGCCAGGGAAGAACGCAGTATGAACATTCGAGAGTTGCCAAATTTCCTTGGATAAAATGTTTATTTTTGAGGAAAGGTATGAATATTTTTCCTTGAAATTTTCAGAGGTTTTAGATCAAAATACAAATAAAATTATCTGAGAAATTGGTAGACAAATACTCAAAAATTTCCTGAAAATTAATGATTTGCGAGGGGAAATTTGGCAACGCCTGAAGGCTCATACGGCGTTTTTCCCGAGTACGGCAGAATAGTTCTTTCGTTAGGTGGATCTCTTTCCCTTATATTCTTCCCTTTTGATCTCGGATGCCTCATTTCGTTTCCGATCGAGGTTTATTCTACGCGGGGACAAAAATCATCCACCCCATCGGGACGAAAACCGCGGTAAAATTAGAAAGAGGCCCAAGGTATGCAACCGCTCAATCTGTGTATAATTCGACTCATAAATATTCCACGAGCTCGGGGCGGGTTGGAAGGGCGCGAGAAATGAGTGGATGAATAAGTCATCATTTTTCCGTGATGCCGACGCGACGCCGGCGCCGCGGCGGGAAAGTTCGGAACTAAATGAACCAAACGCTGCTATAACTTCTCAAGTATATTTTCCCATGAACTTTCGGCTCCGTAAGATCTCCTGCGCTCTGGGGCTCATCCGATGTTCGATTTGAACATCGATTCAAATAGGGATCATCAATGCCCCCGCGAGGAGGGCGGGCCGCACTGCCGCACTGACAGATTGAAAAACAGCTTATCTCCGTAGCTCCTTGCATTGACAGTATGAGGTTCTGGCAAGATAGGACACTGTTGGCGTCATGTAAACGAGCAATCAACAAAGGACCGGTGGAACGTCGGTACGCATGCTTATGAGGGATGAAAGAACCACAGACTGCTTAGCTCAGTGTAAAGAAGTTAGGGGTTGCTTTTTGTTCAGCACGGGTGTAAGAATATTAAGTAATTCATCGGGCCTTGATAAAGCTGTGGCATTACACGTGCCCTTTAATCTTTCAAATGGCGATATTCATTCATGTCACGCATTAATTCAGATTGTTTCCCTTTTTCCAATTTTTCATACGTCTTTAGAAGCGTTTGTTCAACCCCTATACTGTCGTGCTAAGAAAAAACGCCGTATGAACATTTGAGAGTTGCCAAATTTCCTCTCAGCAAATATTCATTCTCAAAGGCATGAATATTTTTTCCTAAAACTTTCAGACTTTTTAGATCACGTTACGAACAAAATTTTCTGAAAGATCGGAAGAAAAATAATGAAAAAAATCCCCGATAAATCGTGATTTATAAAAGGAAATTTGGCAACGTTTGAAGGCTCTTACGGTGTTTTTCCTTGGCCGTGGATTTAAATAGACACATAATGGAAAACTATTAGGACAGGTATGAGATGACGTACCATTGGCGACGGGTTGCGGTGGTTTGTTGACAACCTCTTGAATTGGGCCTCTGTATTCGTACCATCGATACGTGCTCTGGTACTCCGAATGGAGCTGTAAAAAAAAGAGAGATAAATTGAAAATAAATAAACCGAATTTTTGGGACATTATCGTAATTAGGAGAAAAGACGGGTGAGCGTGTTGGGGGCTCTATTACCAATGTTTTAAACTTTTTTTTTCGAGGGCATCAGTTCTAGCTGCATCTTTCAGTGATTAAAAGCCAGATTGCACCAAACATCAATCAACAAAAACAACATTCCGTTTTTTACTGTCGACAGGTAAAGTTAGCACACACTGGATTGAATCAAGAGTATTTTTTCCTGTCAATGTTTTTAAGAGTCTCGACTCTAGATCCAAGCGACTTTTTTTCCAGTGTATCTTCTTACGTAAATAATAATTATATTCTTTCCTGGTGAAAAGAAGTAAAAAGATTCGTGTGGTGAACGCTCTCCAACGTTCTTCCGTTGGAACCAACCCCTTGTTTTTTTACAGATACCCAAGGCTTCGACGGATGCACACACACACATGATCAGGTAACGAAGGAGGATGAGAGCTCCATCATAAACTTCATTTATAATCTCATCGACTGAAGACTCGGAGAGCTTCGCCGCGCCGCACAGTGGATCCAGTCAATAGGAAAGGTCGGACGAAATTCGGAAACTTTGAGAGCTTATAACTTCGTTTAAACAAAATTTTAAGGTTCTAACAGTGGTTCCGTTGATTTTCTCGTTAAATTTTCTACTAGAAGCACTCTTTAAAATTTAAAATGTGACGAATTAAACATCGAAATTTGCAGTTTTAGTCAAAAATTTCATATCCGACCTCTCTGATGGACTCGATCCACTGTGCGCTGGTTCAAAATTCCTTAACATTGCTCGGGACTTGGGGAGCGCGTGATTACGAAGTTCACCCAGGCAGAGAGTGCTTTAAGTCGGAAGTTAAACACTTTGCATCACCACTCAGTCAGGCCTGTTTACGAGATTATACCGCTGGGATGCTTGCAAACCCGCAGCGAGAAATTCATTTCAACCCTCGGCCTCTAAACCCCCCCCCACCCCGGTCCTTCACACGTTGACCTATAAGGAGACGTTCAGAGGTCTCTCTCCCTGAGGGGCCAAAAGCGCGCGCCCTGGTAAAGTGCAAGCCAGGTAATTGGACGAATGGGTGGCTCGAATTCACTTGAGGCAGGAAATGAGCACGGCCCGTTGCAAATGGGTAGAATAATGCAACTTTCTTCAGATGTAAGAGGCTCCACGAAAAAATATAGTTCCATCTACTAAAAATCATGCGTACATACTATCGTGCTAAGAAGGAACGCCGTGCGAACATTCAAGCGTTGCCAAATATCCCAGGAAAAATGTATTTTTGAAGAAAGTTATGCATGGTTTTCCTTGAAAAATTCAGATACCTCATATTAAATTGCGAACGGAATTGTCTGAAAAATTTAAGGAATAATATTCACGATTTTCCCAGTAAATTCGGGTTATAGGAAGTATGGAAATACGGAAGGAAATATGGCGATGCCTGAATGTTCATACGGCGTTCTTCCATAGCTCGGCAGCATCTAGCCTGTGTCACACTTTCAAAATTTGCCATCAAAAATGTCAAGGTCAAGTGATGCGATTGGTCCAAGTCATCGAATAATCATATTGTGATTTAGCCAAATATTAGCCCCCCCCCCCAAAAAAAAAAAAAAAANAAAAAAAAAAAAAAATCAGACAGCAACTGCGATATGTACGCGCGCACGCCAACGGGTTGTATCCCTTTGGTCAGAACTCCCCGATTTTTGGGATGAAATCTGACGACTAGGCTAATTGCCGCCTTCGACCCTTGGGTCTCTTAGTTGGGTGACCTTAACGTATAAAATTTCAGTTTTTAGGGTTGCCGCGTTGTTTTATGCCTACAGCGCACAGAGGGCCAGGAATCGAATTTAGCTGGACAAAAGTCCATTTTGGCTTGTCCGGAAAATTCGAAAATAGACACCACTGAGCGATAAGGTATATCATGGAGTATCTGTACATCACTGGGTTTGGGGGTCTTATCACTAATAAGACTGCGATGCCAAGATTTTCCCGAGCGCGTGCGGTGTGTTTATTTATCCTGTATGCTGGCTTGGTTCAACGCTCATCCAAAAGGTCATGTTCCACAAACCTTCGAGTGTTTCCCAACATAACGAGTGTTTTACCAAGTTAGATTAACATGTTTTCATTTTACTTTAAGGTATTTTTATCAATTTTGTGCATTGTATAGTCTGGTACACACAATTAAAAACTGGGCACGAAAATGTCCTAATTTTTAGGTTTAAAGAGGTCTGCAATTTTCTGTAAAGATCTGTAAGGTTACGGACCGCTACCATGTGGTTCAATACATCCTAAACATCTAAATTTTCATTGGTTCATTTGCCTTTTCTTGCCTTACCGTGAGTTATGCATTTTTTTGTGACGCAAGATCGAGGATTTTATGCTAATTTCTTATATTGGATCACTCACGTGCCAGGTATTGGCGATTCTTGCATGTTAGCATCAATGCTCTTTCTCATTGTAAATACACTAACGAAAATCGATTTTAGGTTAGGATTTTCGATATATATCGATTCTATCGTAGATGTGTTCATATGGATGAAAGGCAGTGTTGCCAAATTGCAAGCATGCCGTATAATGGCGCTATCCTACGCTAATCTTCTTATATTGTTATTATAGATGTCCATACAACTGCGGCCCGACTTCTGGGGTTAAATTATGCCTGATTCTGAATAAAATTTTCTAATTCAAGGTTTTATTCCGGCTTTGCCTTTATATCTTCTAATTTCTGGCAAAAGAAGTGCATTCTTCAAAACAATATTTTCATTGGTTCCGCCAAAAAATACGCGACAAGCAGAAGACTCCTGAATTTTCTGGACATGTCTGGAGGGTTCAAATGGTCAATTTTGTGTAAGAACACACTCTGAAATTTTGGACATTCTTTGGTTTACTCGCAATTTTTTGCAATTTTCTGAGCAATGAGTATTTTCGTTGGGCGAGATGAGATTCAATACTATAATTACGCTGAAAAATACGCGACATGCAAACGACTCCTGAATTTTCTGGACATGTCTGAAGGGTTCAAATTGTCAATTTTAAGTAAAAGCACACTTTGAAATTTGGGAATTTCTTTGGTTCACTAGCAGTTCTCGGCAGTTTTCTGGGCTATGAATATTTTCGTTGGGCGAGATGAGATGCAACGCTAATTCTGCTGAAAAATACGCGACATATATTTCCCATATCGACGGTGAAACTACCAAACCACGTATCTCGGTTTGCGACGTCGCAGACTTCCTGTCATACTTTATTTTTTAAATGAAAAACTACTTAACATCCAGTCTTGAAAATTTCTGTGATGTTTCCTCTTTGTGCGGAGAAAATTCCGTGAAAATTTCAAGGAATGATATTGATTTGGTCTACTTCGAAAAAATAAAATGTGAGCGTAGATTTTTAAACACCGCAAACGAGATACGTGGTTTGGTAGTTTCACCGTCGATATATTACCCAGAGATAAATCATCATTTTTCAAATTTTTTGAATTTTAAACTGAAAAATGTTGAACAAAGAAAGCAAAACTGTAATTTACTCACCAAAATAACCCTCAGAAACCAATTTCTTCACACAAAACAAACTCAGGTACCTCTGAAGATTTGAGTGAAAAATTGCATTAATTACCCGTTGATAAAGCAATTTTTTTTAATAATTCTCATCAAAAACTTCAAAATTTCTTAAAAGAAACCCAAAATATGGATTCAGCGACCTAAATTACCCCTAAAAACACATATTCTCTCCTATTAGTAAGTTCAGGCGCCTCTGAGGACTTTTGTCCGGCTAAACTTGGCTGCTGGCCCTCCGTGCAGCGCGTCGGAAAGTGGTGTTAGAGACACATTTTGGTGAGCCAAAATCCTCGTGAAAAGTCGTAGGCACTCGCTTTTCAAACCCTCAGAACATTCCCATTTTTCAACCAAATAAGTTGATCTGGGTGTCATTAGAAATTTATTTGGCTTGCCTTTCAAACAAGACCAAGAAAAAGCCTCTACCTATCATGATTTTGAAGTTACAAGATTTTTCTCACTACTTTTTGAACAGCCTATGTATTTCTGGATCACTTTGGAAACAACATACTTACCATGAGTTTCCCTTAACAGATAAGCGCGTTCATGGCTGATTCAAAAATAGAAGATATTTTTTTGCAAAATCTAATGCAGCTCAGCCTCGATCTGCCAATGAGGCTCCTGATGGTCTCCCCTATACGATGCACAATATCAGGGTGTCTACCAGTTATGGAAAACCAAAGTTAGAGACTTTCGGAGACTTTTTTCCCGAAATAGTGAGACAAAGGCAGCTAGTTAGAGCGTTAAAAGACGTATTTTATACGAATTTTTTACAAGTCATGTTGAACCGATGAAAACATACGAAAAACCAAGCAACACTTCACTTTTTCATCCTGATTATACCGCGCTGCCGCGGTTGGCGGGAATATTTGAAAATGCCGGTGTTTAGAACGATTTTTGTCATTTTTTGGGGACCTGAACAAGAAAATTGGGGACATTCGGAGATATCTGGGACACTTCCAAAATCGGGGATAATCACATTGGGGACTTTTGGGGACCAGTAGACACCTTGCATATCCATTGGAATATTTTAGGGGATGTTTTGAAGAGTCAAAAATTCTTCGACTTCTTTTCAGAATACGTCAGACGGATTGAACATGTCGTGAACAGGGAAGTAAGCTTAGTGAGAGTTTTCAGCTCCTGCCATTTGGATGTGCGGAATGCGCACTGTAGGTAATCGAATGAACTCGCCACGCCGCCGGCTCCCGAACTTCTCCCCTCTTTTTGGATTTCGATAATTGAATAACTCATCTACGGTCCTCCAGTTTTCATCGATTTATTTGGAGTCTAAGTCACTCCTAGCTAGGGGAGTCCTCCGGTAGAAAATGGCGGCCAAGACCTGGCCGAAAATAACCCCATCACGCGGACGGATTGCAGATGAGGGTTGGATTACCACACCACACTCCACAGAAAAACCTCG